TTACAAATCTCTCGGAAGAGCTCCCGCAATGGACTTGGTCTGCCTGACTCTGGCAGAAAAACGCATTGGTAGAGAGGGAAATAAAGCAGGGGCTTTGGGGAGTAACATTTGACTAGCCAGTGGGTGTTTCCCAGTGTTTCTGCCCCCGGCTCACAGGTCTGGGCGTCTGTGTGGCAGAATCAGGAGGAGGGACACACAGACAGAACAAGGACGGGAGGGCAGGAGAGATTGTACAAGATAGGGGCCCTTACAGCACAGGAGATATTGTCAATATTGAAATAACTAAGTATAGTGCCAGATGGGTCCTGGAAATATAGGGGGGAACACTTTGTTTTTTAAAAAATATATTTTATTGATTTTTTACAGAGAGGAAGGGAGAGGAACAGAGAGCTAGAAACATCGATGTGCCCGCAATCAAGGCACATGTCCCTGACCGGAACCGAACCTGACACCCTTCAGTCCGCAGGCCGACGCTCTATCCAGTGAGCCAAACCGGTTAGGGCTAGGGGGGAACACTTTGCAAAGTATATGATTGTCTAACCGCTATGCTGTACATAGCATATGAGTATGAATACAAAATAATAAAAAGTTTGAATTAAAAAAAAAAACACTAAAAAATAGCCCTAGCCGGTGTGGCTCAGTGGATAGGGCACTGGCCTGCAGACCAAAGGGCCCCAGCTTGGATTCCAGTCAAGGGCAAGTACCTTGGCTGCAGGCTCCTCCCCGGCCCAGGCCCTGGTTGGGGCTCGTGCTGGAGGCAACCAGTCGATGTGTTTCTCTCACATCGATGTTTCTCTTATCCCCTCTCTTTCACTCTCCCTAAAAATCAATGGAAAAAGTATCCTCGAGTGAGGATTAACAACAAAAATTAACAACTAAAAAAATAAACAAATCTTTGAGGGGCTTAGGGGCCAGGGGAGTTGGAGGGAGTTGGGTTGGAGGTCAGAGAGGTGAGGGGCAGAGCGGAGGCGGCTCTCCCCCAGGCAGGACGGGAAGGAAGGGAGCCGCACAGCAATTGTAGGAAACGTGGCTTCAAGTAAGGGGACTGGAAGCTAGAAGACAATGGAGCCAGGCCTTTGAGAGTCGGAGAGGAAAGGCTTTCCATGCTAGAATTCCATACCCAGCCAGACTGTCAATCAAGGCTGAAGCCTGAACAAAGACCTTTGCGGGCACTTCCCCACCCAGTCTCAGGAAGCTCCCAGAGGACTTTTCAAAAGCAAAGAAGTAAATCAGTGAAGGGGAAGGAAGGTCTGGGATCCAAACAATGGACTTCGACATGGAGGGTGAGTGAATAAGAATGTAAATCTCCAGGAATCGGAGCACAGCACCGGCACAGGCTCACGGCGCCTGAGGACATGCTGCAGAGTGGAGGTAGCGGCTGGAAGCAACTGGCTGTCCGTGGGAGCAAGAATCCAGTATGCGGGGCTCAGGGCTGCCAGTTTTTATTATTCTAAGCCTCATTCCATGAAACCGTTTACTTTTTAGGTGCTCTAAATATGTTATTTGAAATAAACACATCCAATTTTTTAAAACTTCATCGAAAGCCTAACAAAAAAGAACACGGCGTGGGTCCCGTTTCAGTTTCTGTCACAGACGCAAGCAGAGGTGGGCTGGCTTGTGAGGGACCCTCCTTGGCTGGGCTGCTTTTGCTTGTTCATTTTTGTTTCCGGTCGACTTTTATTTATTTCTGAAGCAATACTGCAACCAGACAGGCTCTTCGATGAGGGTCAGGATTACTTTCAGCCTGCACCTTCTGGGTGTAAATTCTTCCTCCTCCGCAGGACTAGTTATGCGACCTGCATGGCAAGATAGGGAGCCGGTGGGAATTCCATTTCCCATCCCTCACACCAGTCCTTGTAAGGGTAGAGGCAGAGGGCGATGCAGGCCGGAGCGTGCAGAGCTCAGCAGTGCCAGTTCCCCTTTCCCCTGAAGAGCCAACTCACTGAAAAGGAATGACTATGTCGGGCAAACAACTTTAAAGCTAGGATAATGCAAGTGAGCTATCAAAATGCCACCGCCCCGACAGATCAAATCGGCATGCCTTCCTGGGGGAGCAGGTCTTCCTGAACAGGCTGTGGGGTGGGAGGCAGAGGGCCAGCTGGGACTCGCCCCTGACTACCCCCAACCCAAAAGGTGCCCCTTTCCCCTCCAGAATCAGGCAGGCCTGTGGTCTCGGCAAGCCCGGGAGCAGGGTGGCGCTGACGCCTGAGCCTCTGAGCCGCTCCTGGTCTTGGCAGACAAGGGACCTTCGAGATCAAGGGCTCCCTGTGGAAACCAGCGTATGGAACTCATTACCCGCCTTCCCGCCAATGCAGGCCCGCCCAGGCCCGCTCCTGAAGATCTGTCTCTTCCCGCCCTGGTTTCTGCACGCCTGAGTCCCAGCAGTCAGTCTGCGAACCCCCAGCTCAAATGTCATTCCTCCAGGAGGGCCTTTATCATTAATCCCCCCCCCCCCCCCCAAGCAGTGAAGAACACCGCTCTTTCCATGTTTTTAGCTCTTTGCTTTCTTCCCTCTGGGGGAGGAGGATGTCAGGTCAGGGGGCTCGCCATAGCATATTTCCAAAATAGACATTCTTACCCTGGGGTCTTGGGGAGAGAGCCTATCTGTGTTTTCATTGTCCTCCAGCTGCAAACCATCATATTTTCCCTGTTTCTCTGTTGTGCAGGGAGAGAACACACCACAACGCTACTAGCAATACCTGTGACTTGTCACCAACAGAAATTACAGACATTTTCAGAGCATGTTGCCATGGTGACAGAGAAGTTGGAATACCATTTATGCTCATCACTGTTTCAAAGATACAGTAACTGTTAGGCCCCATCAGATCTTGTTGTTTATTGTGTTAAAGAAACACATATAGCCCAGCCGGCGTGGCTCAGTGGTTGAGCATTGACTTACGAACCAGGAGGTCACGGTTGGATTTCCTGTCAGGGCACATGCCCGGGTTGCAGGCTCTATCCCCAGTGAGGGGCGTGCAGGAGGCAGCCAGTCAATGATTCTCTTACCATTGATGTTTCCATCTCTCTCTCCCTCTCCTTTCCTCTCTGAAATCAACAAAATATATTTTTAAATATATATATTTAAAAAATAAAAGCATTACATACAATAAAGTGCACCATTTTAAATGCTTAGTGAGATGAGTCTTAACAAATGTCTCCACTGGGGACCCGCACCCCCAGCCTTGGGCACACCACAGGTGCCCACGAGTGTCCATGGACCAGAACTGAATTCCTCAAACGAGGGGCTTGGGAGAAGAGAAGACATTAACTTCCCATTTCAGGGTTAGGAAAGTCCCAGTTCCCGTGGAGGGGGGGGAGGGGGGTAAATGGAGTCGCTAAGGGGCACAAACACACGCACATCAGCAGTTCTTTTCCTTTGCGTCAGCAGCTCCGGCGCTGTGCTAATGGCGCAGAGACCGGGCTGGAGGTCGAAGGTGCTGGCTGCGCGACACTGTGGCTCGCCCGGCCTGGCCACACCTGGGGGAGGCTTGCAGGGCAACGGAGGGTGAGCTCCTTCCCAGTTTCCTTCAAGCGTGCTGCCCTCGCTCGCCTCCTCTGCCCTCTGCCCTCTCTCACACCTGCAGCAGCGCCCCGCCCCTCAGCCCCGCGGGCCCAGGAGAACCCACCACCCCAGGAGTCCCCTGGAAGTCAGGCGGGGCCCAGGGCGGCCCAGCAGTCAGAGCTGGAGCGGGTGTCAGGGACCCCGGGGCGGGCCCAGGGGCGCGGAGGGCGGGTGCGCGCTGAGGACTTGGCGGGGGCGGGCCCCTTGGCGGCGGCCCCCGGGGGCGGGGCCCGGGCGTGAG